AGGGTTGCGCGCGTTCTCTAGGCGGACTCCTCACCGCAGACGCGGGCGGGAGGGCCGGACGCGCGCCCACCTGAGGCCAGTACGCAGCCTCACCTCGGGGACGGTACGGAGGTAGCTGGAAAGTCAAGGAATCCATCCCTTCGGCCGCCAGTGGGCCACCCTCTCACCCAGTCAGTAAAGTTGGTTTCCCTCAGTTATCTCAGCCTCAGCCGGGACCAGAAAACCGGCCTGGAGTCTTGGGAAAGGTGAGTGGAAGGTTTTTTACTTCGGCTGAGACGTTAGTTCTCGACCCGCGCAGTAATTTCGTCGCTTCCAATGTCTAGTGTTTTCGTGGGACTCACCTCAGGGCCTGCGGCGAGTTGATTGGAACAATAGTTAACATGTATTGATGAACATTTACTATGTACCTGACACTGTTACAGATGCTTTACACATATTGATTAGCTCCTTTAATACTCATCCGGATCAATAAAGTAGGTGCTGTAAACATCCCCACTTTACAGATGAAGGAACTGAGTCATAGACCATGAGACGGGCCCCACGCCCCGCAGCTGGTAAATGGCAGTCCAGATTCCAGCCCACAACTACCAGCTAGGTTGCCTGACACTTCAGTCCCCTCTGGGTGGGAAATGCAGCCTAGGTATTGAAGGTAGAATTGAGTTTGGGGAACAGTTAAAGGTAAGTATCTAAAATAATAAAAGTGCAATATGCTAATTAGACCAGACAGCGGGATGTCCTTCCCCACGACCTTCCAGATGAAGCCGGGACTGCAAGGGCCCAGCCCCTTGCAGGAATTTCGTGCATCGGGTCTCTAGTTTAGAGATAATAGTTTATGATAAAATACTTTCCTTTGAACACTTACAGCACCTTATTTACACTCTGAAGTCTGAATGAATTTGGAAAAGGCAATATATAATCCAAAGAGGAGGAACAATGATGTTAGGAGCTGCAGGGCCCCCAGGGGATGTGTTCCCTTAGAACTGTGCTGTCCAGGACCGTAGCAACTAGCCACATGAGGCTACTGAACACTTCAAGTGTGGCCAACCCAAATTAAGATGTTACAGGCATAAAGGAAAAAAAAGAAAAAGATATTATAGGCATAAAAATACAAACTATGTTTCAAAGACTTTATATTAAAAAAGAATGTAAAATATTTTCTAAATATTGATTATATGTTGAAATATTTTAGCTATATTGGTTTAAATAAAATACATTAAAATTAATTTCACCTGCCCTAACTGGTTTGGCTCAGTGGATAGAGCGTTAGCCTTCGGACTCAAGGGTCGATGCTCTATCCACTGAGCCAAACCGGTTCGGCTCACCTGTTTCTTTTTACCTTTTTAGTGTAACTACTAGCAAATTTAAAATTACTAATGCGACTTACATTTCTATTGGACAGCACTGCTCTAGAAACATAATAGCCCCCGACTGCAGGCACTAGAACAGTGATGGCGAACCTTTTGAGCTCGGTGTGTCAGCATTTTGAAAAACCCTAACTTAATTCTGGTGCCGTGTCACATATAGAAATTTTTTTGATATTTGCAACCATAGTAAAAAAGCAGTTTATATAGTGAGGAAGCAGCAACTGTTCATCAGAGTGATCGGTTATAATAGAATTTTCTTAAGTGATAGGGAATTGGTCAGTGGTTACCTCATATCAACCTTGGGAATCAGTTCATGTTACTAATGATTTTCAGAGGCATAAGCAAGAAATGACCAAGGACAAGTTAGTCTTGCAAAATAAGCTAAATTATGCTTTATCTTTTAAAAAATCTATCTTTATTGTTTTTTGTTTTTTTTGCATCTTATCCATTTTATTTATTTATTTATTTTTTAAATCTTTATTGTTCAGATTACATTTGTTCCTCTTTTTTTTTTCCCCCATAACTCCCCTCCTCCCAGTTCCCACCCCACCCTCTGTCCTCATCCATAGGTGCACGATTTTTGTCCAGTTTCTTCCCGCATCTCCCATTCCCCTTTCCCCGCCAAGAATAGTCAGTCCATTCCCTTTCTATGTCCCTGATTCATTATAATCACCAGTTCATTCTGTACATCAGATTATTTATTCACTTGGTTCTTAGATTCACTTGTTGATAGATGCATGTTTGTTGTTCACAATTTGTATCTTTACCTTTTTCTTCTTCCTCTTCTTAAAGGATACCTTTCAGCATTTCGTATAATACTGGTTTAGTGGTGATGAACTCCTTTAGCTTTTCCTTATCTGTGAAGCTCTTTATCTGACCTTCAATTCTGAATGATAGCTTTGCTGGATAAAGTATTCTTGGTTGTAGGTTCTTGGTATTCATCACTTTGAATATTTCTTGCCATTCCCTTCTGGCCTGCAAAGTTTCTGTTGAGAAATCAGCTGACAGTCGTATGGGTATTCCCTTGTAGGTAATTGAGTCTCTTTCTCTTGCTGCTTTTAAGATTCTCTCTTTGTCTTTTGCTCTTGGCATTTTAATTATGATGTGTCTTGGTGTGGTCCTCTTTGGATTCCTTTTGTTTGGGGTTCTCTGCGCTTCTTGGACCTGTAAGTCCATTTCTTTCACCAGGTGGGGGAAGTTTTCTGCCATTATTTCTTCAAATAGGTTTTCAATATCTTGCTGTCTCTCATCTTCTGGCACCCCTATTATTCTGATGTTTGTACGCTTGAAGCTGTCCCAGAGGCTCCTTACACTATCTTCGTATTTTCGGATTCTTTTTTCATTTTGCTTTTCCGGTTGGGTGTTTTTTGCTTCTTCGCATTTCAAATCTTTGGCTTGATTCTTGGGCTCCTCTGGTCTGCTATTGGGTGTAATATTCTTTATTTCAGACCGTGTATGCTTAATTTCTAGTTGTTTCTTTATCATAGCATCGAGGGTCTCATTAGTTTTCGTGAGTCTCTCCTCAAGTTTATTGGCAGCTTCTAGCACATTTTTGCAAGCCCTCAAAATTGCGTTTTTTAGCTCTATATCCTCCATTTCTGTCATGTTTTTTTGTCTCCGCATTTTTTATGCTTTCTTGGTGCACCCCCTTGTGGTCTTTGTGCGCAGTCTTGTTCTAGTTAAGCCTTGATTGTTGTAGTTAATACTAGAGGGATTTGACCACCAGGCCGACTGGCTGTGAGAATCAGCTGTGTCTGCTGCAGTGGGAAAACTTCTGTCCTCTGGAGAGGCGCTAATCTAGCCTTTGCCTGAGGCTATCCGGCAAATGTCTCTGTGCAGGGCTTGGGCGGGGCGGGACCAACAGGGCGGGCGGAGGGAGCGGTTATGGCTGCCCTCAGTCCCGTTCCCAGAGGCTCTGCTTCTCAGAACCCCAGGAACCACTGCAAACCTCGGAGAGAAAGCTGCCTTCCAACTGATGCCAGACAATCCCGCTTCTCCCGTTTGAGTCTGAGTCCCTAGAGACTCGCCCAGATCTGGAGTAGAGCACCAACTTAAGTCTGGGATTTCCCAAGACTCAGCAGAAGGAATCCCAAGGTATATTGGTATGTACTTCTGGTTTAAAAAGAGTCAACAGCCCTAGCCGGTTGCTCAGTGGTTAGAGCGTCAGCCCAGGGACTGATGGGTCTCAGGTTTGATTCTCAGGTAAGAGCACATATACCTCAGTTGCAGGCTCAATCCCCGGCCCTGGTCAGGGTGCGGGAGGCAACCAATCAATGTGTGTCTCCCACATTGATATTTCTCTCTCTCCCCCACCCTTGCACTCTCTAAAAAAAAAGAAAAAATCAATGGACCCTGCAGTGTGGTTCAGTGGTTGAGCATTGACCCATGAACCAAGAGGTCACCAGTTTGATTCCTGGTCAGGGCACATGCCTGGGTTTCGGGATCGATCCCCAATAGGGGGCACGTGGGAGGCAGCTAATCAGTGTTTCTATCTCTCTATCCACCTTCCTTCTTCTCTAAAATAATCTATATATATATATAAAAGCCTAATATGCAAAGTGTCCCCTCGAGAGTTCAACCGGGAGTTCAATTGCTCGCTATGACGTGTGCTGACTACCAGGGGACGGCATGGAATGAAAGAAGGCCCTGGCCAGCAGCCGGCAGCTGGGGAAGGGAGGCCTCAGCTGACAGCCAGCAGCCGCTAGGGACCCTACCCATGCATGAATTTCGTGCACTGGGCCTCTAGTCTACACTAACAAAAGAGAAACATGGTAATTGGCGTACGGCCGCTACCCTTTTCATTGGCTAATCAGTGAGTATATGCAAATTAACTGTCAGCCAAGATGGCGGCCGGCAGCCAGGCACTGAAGCGAGCAGGGAGGCTTGCTTACTCTTGCACGAATTTTGTGCATCGGGCCTCTAGTCAATAATAATAAATATTTAAAATTATTTTTTTAAATGCGTGAATAGGAATGCTTAGCCCTTGTTGCAGTTGGTATGTCTGATGCCAGGTGTATAGCCAAAAGGATATGGTGTTTCCAGCAGCAAATTAGGGATATGGAGGGGTAGATGTGAGAGGGAAAATACCATTGTAAATAGGTAACATAAACAGAATTTGTTTCTTGGTGTATAATAATTTTTTTTGAATTTGCTGTTTTTTATTTATTTTTTTTATTTATTTATTTTTATATTTTTTATTGATTTTTTACAGAGAGGAAGGGAGAGAGATAGAGAGCTAGAAACATCGATGAGAGAGAAACATCGACCAGCTGCCTCCTGCACATCTCCCACTGGGGATGTGCCCGAAACCCAGGCACATGCCCTTGACCGGAATCGAACCTGGGACCCTTCAGTCCGCAGGCCGACGCTCTATCCACTGAGCCAAACCGGTTTCGGCTAATTTGCTGTTTTTTAAATTATAAAAATAGATACTTGTTACAGCAAATGAAACAATAAAATGCAAGGATGTATTAAAGGCAAAGCTCCCCTGCCTGAAGTAACCAAAGTGTGTACACTTTTATAAACATATATGCACACGTGTGTGTT